CATTCATCCTCATCTGCTCACACAGACTCATGTTCGTGCTGCTGTTGGTGTATTCTAAAAAAATTGAATCTGGCCCTCTGGACATTAAAAAAAAGGAGGCCATCTTTGTGAAAAGAAACCGTCCATCATTAAACAGGGGTGGAGGCCTCCAGGTTCAACTGTCCCCCTCTTACAATGCTGTGATTGCTAGTATCACTCAGCCCTCTGTGAACAGTAAACAGCCATCAGGTGCTAATGATCCATTGTTAGGCTGATGGTCCTTCTTGAGCATGTGATCAGCTGGTTTTGGTTGTCAGCAGCAAAACTGGTTGATCCACTCTGAGAAGGTGCTATTTAAGAGACTGAGCTGAATACAGCACCTCAGACTGAGGAAGTCTCTCGGATGAAAGACAAAACGTTTCTACATTTTTTTTAATGTCCAGAGGACCAGATTCAAATTTTTTATATTTTTATTGATGTTTTTCTTTTTACATTTTAATACTTTTGTTGGATGTAAGTGGGACTCTGTGTACAGAATGTGTGGTGGAAGGACAAATAAAGAACTTTGAATCCTTGAACCGGTGTAATTCAATAATGAAGTTAGGCAAACGTTGACCAGTGCCAGAAACCGAGACGCAGCTCCTCCCTCACTGGTGAACTCTCACTTCTGCTTTTTGGACTTTCACTTTGGTGACGCTGAGTCGACAGAAAGAGTCTCTGCTCTCAGAGCAGTTTCTCTGCACAACAAACCCAGCCCGTGTAAAAATGAGCGGCCGTCCTCTGATGGTCAATGTTGACCAGTGGATTGTAGAGAACCAAGATGCTTTTCTACCCCCGGTGTGCAACAAGCTCATGTGAGTAGCAGGAAGTGTTGATATCTGTCTGTTTGTACTTGTTCTGCTTCATGAACAACCAGTGAGCAGAGTTTGATCTTTGACGTAAAAGGATTCAGAACAACTCATGTCACTTTGATCACGTTGGACAGACTCAGAACTGTTGGGATCTGTGTTTTTCAGGCACTTCTCCCAGCTGCTTATCATGTTTGTTGGAGGTCCAAACAGCAGGAAGGATTATCACATAGAAGAAGGAGAGGAGGTAGTCCTGTATCCTGCAACCCCCCAGATTATAATCTGAGCTCGTACTGTAGCTTCTCTTTACTCTGATCACCAACAGGTCCAGAGTACTGGTTCTGTTTCTACCAGAACCTCTGGAGGCTAAAGACTGAAAGTATTGACTGACAGCATCAAACACTTACTCAATACTGAACTTTGACTTTCTGTGTGTGTGTGTGTGTGTGTCTTTGTATGTGTGTGTGTGTGTGTATCTGTGTGTGTGTGTGTGTGTGTGTGTGTGCGTGTGTGTATGGTCTTGTATTTCTGACTTTGTGGGGACTTTGTTTGGACTTCCATTCGTTCTGTAGCCTAACTCTGACCCATCACAACTTAGACCTAACCTCTAACCTTTAACCTCTAACCTCTAACCACCAACGAGACTAATCCTTATGGGGACCAGGATTTGGTCCTCACAATGTTACCTGAAACAAAACCGCACACACACATGTGTGCGTGCGCGTGTGTGTGTGTGTCTTTGTTCATCATTTTTAATTTTTAATATTCTGTATTTTATGTTTCAGCTTCTTGAGAAAGTTGCAGTTTATCCAAAACAATTTGTCATTAAAAAGGTTTTGAACTTCAGTACATTCGTGGCTCTTCCTGGAGGAACATATTTACATAAAACATTAAATTTGTAAGCATCTTTTATGATTGTCTATTATTGTTGTCTTAGTTGTCCACTGTTGTCCTCACTCTTTGTTTAAATCAGGTCTCTGTTGTAGATGAGTCCTCGAGGCTCAATGGGACTAACCTGTAGAAATAAAGCTTGAATGAAAACTTGGATCCAGTCAGGCTGGGTCTGGGTCTGGGTCTGGGCCTGGGTCTGGCTCATGGTTAGAAGCTGACAGCTGAAAGTGTTGTAAGCACCAGGAAGGTGAGAGTAAAACACATTTATCACAAATTGTTGTCTTCACAACCTTCATCAGTCATTTCACAGCCATGCTGATCTTCTGAGAAGGTGCATCTTTAGTTCTCAGGAATCTAGGACAAATTATTTTGTAAAACCCATTCTTATAGGTTGTTGTCAAACTTGATGAAAAACCTGCTACAGCATTTAAAAAAATGGGCCATGTCCTGGATGTAGTTATCGAGTCTGTGAGTTACAAACAGCACAAAGTCCTGTTGGTTTATCATCATGGTGGCAGCAGATCAGGGTCCTGGGTCCACGGACATGATTAGGTTTTAAAGTGTCCTGAGGTCCAGGCTGGTCCATAGAGGTGATCCGGGTTTTAGTTGTGATACTACACCAGTACCTACCTACGTGTAGGACTGGTGTAGTACAGCCCATCGTTCAGTGCAGAAGAAGGCTGTTCACTTTCCTGCATATGAAGTCACCTCCTTCTTCAAACCCCTTTTAAAATATACAATTTTATAATATAATATATAATATAATATACAATTTAATGTTTTTGTCATTTCTTTCAGTTGTTCTTTCAGCTGAAGGGGGACATGTGTTTAAAGGTGATTGAAAATGGCAGTCACAAGGATGTGCACATCAAAGAGGGCGAGGTGAGATCTAACACTCCTTTTCTTCTGTTTCATTCTTTCCTCAAAAACATTGATTTCCCAAGTTTACAAAAAACTCAGAAGTGTCGACTGAGAGTCACTGAAGTTTTTTAATC